CAGTATAAGGAGGGGGCTGGACTGGGTCAGGAAGAAGATGTCATTCAGTTGCCTTCAGTGCCTGTCAGGAGACCTAAACCTAGAGAGCCAGGAGTGACAGTGGGCCCTCGGGGTATGAGCATGGATGTCATACCAAAGACATCCCAGTTACCTTCAAATCACTGCACCGCTTGTCTGTCCTCTCATTTCTGACTTTCCGTAAACGACCTTCCCATTTTATGATACATAAAGGTGCATGCAGAGCTCGTCCACCCATGAAGGGGTACTGGGTGTGCTGTAAGCTCCCCTCCACGGAGCAGAGCACAGGAAACTGAAACGCTGCTCTGAGAGTGAAACCTCAGTCAGGAGTGACCACCAGCCAGAAGCAGCATATCAGTGACTCCTGTTCTTGCCCTGCACGGCCCGGCCGAAGCTGCCCCCACTCAGGTGACGTCCCCGCCGGCCAGTGAGCAGGGCCCCGGCCGCCGGCCAGTTGGGGCCTGCATCACCAGGACTCCAGGACATCGTCCTCTGCCAAAATGATAAAGGCAGTCAAGGAGCAACCACATCACAGGTTTGGATCAGTGTGACCCCTTGGTGACTCCCAGTGAGAATTAATGCCTGTGAGACTCGCCCACCTGAACTCCAATGATCTGCAACCATCAGATAGTCCTGGTTCTGAAAACGTACTTACCGCATAGAACAGGAAGGTGGGCTCACACCTCCCGCGGTATTTTTCAAGGACGTCAAGACAGTCAGCCTCCGCCTAAAGAAAACAAGCTGTCAGCAGGTCCCTGGGCACAGCGGGTACAGGGGCATGATGGCAGGGACTGCACAGGACAACCCACATGCACACTGCACTCCACACACCACACACACACCACTTATCACACACTCACACCACATATCACACACACACACCACATATCACACACTCACACATCACATATCACACACCACCTATCACGCACTCACACCACATATCACACACTCACACACCACATATCACACACTCACACACCACATATCACACACAAGCACCACCTATCATACACACACACCACCTATCACACACATAACCACCTATCACACACATACCACCTATCACACATTCACACACCACCTATCACACACTCACCACATATCACACACTCACACATCACCTATCACGCACTCACACCACCTATCACACACTCACACACCACATATCACACACACACACACCACATATCACACACTCACACACCACCTATCACACACACACTCACACACACACATCACATATCACACACATACCACATATCACACACACCACATATCACACACTCACACACCACATTATCACACACACACACCACATATCACACACTCACACATCACCTATCACACACACACCACCTATCACGCACTCACACCACATATCACGCACTCACACACCACCTATCACACACACACCACCTAACACACACACACCACCTAACACATACCACATATCACACACACCGTGACTGCCCTCCCCAGGTGAAGCCCTGACTTGCTTTCATGTTTCTATTGTTTTTTCAACAGAATCACAACTGTCCTGTCAACACGTTGGCAAAAACTGTTGGCAGTGTACTTTTTTGAGGAATAAAACGAGGAGGAAAAATGGTTTCCCCTGCTCCCCACCAGCTACTCCTCCAGCACCAGGAAGCTCACTAAGTCCTGCTGCTGCCCGACTGGCAGCCTCAGGGGCGGAAGGGCCTCCAAATGCCCTCATGTCTGGGAAACCTGCCCACGGACGTTCCTCCCCACGCCCTGCAGAAGCGTCCACACTGACTCCCAGAGCGGGAGGAGCCAAAGCCCTTGAAGCCAAACTTGTGGCGAGATTAGCGTGAAGCCCATCTTCTGTGTTCAGTCTTTGAACCGCAAACCCACGGAGTGTCTCTTGCACACGTCTCTGGAATTTATTCCCATTTCCATACATTAATCCAGTAAATGTTTACTCAAAGTCCCCCTTTGCAGAGCAGAGGATAGAGATCCTGAACCCTGAGCTCTGAAGGGGAAACTCCAGAGCTCACAGTGTCTGTGAGCTACGAGGGAGCACACCTGTTGGAGTGGCAGGCATTCTGTCCCTGCGGCCAGAGTGACGGTCAGTGAGGGGCTGAGGGAGGATTTCATCCCCAGAGAAACTGCGAGGCAGCATGACTAATACAAAGCCACAGTGGATGCCTTTTCAATTCTCTGAAAAGGGAGCTCACACTTCCTGTTCCTGTGTTGAAATGTTGCCTTTTTCTTACAATGTTGAGCGACAGTCCCGCTGAGAGAGGATCTTACCAATGCAAAGTGCAGAAGGTCCAGGCCAACCTCGATCCTCATCTTCTGGAAGAGGCTCACCACGGGCTTGCAGGGGCCACACCAGCCCTGATAGACATCAACAACTGGCGGCACCGGGAAAGAAGCAGGGAGGCTCAGCGAGCCCCAGCGTCCAGCAAGTCAGGCAAAGTTTACACCCGCACATGCTACCTCCCTCAGATGGATGTCGTTTGCAGGGACATTAATGGTTACAGGATTTATTATCCCGTCAGAGTATGAGCGAGCATGGAAACACAGCTATCCCTCATTCTTAGCAACTCTTTGTTCTGAATTCTAAACACAGTGAAGTAGTGTAGGGTGGGAAATCATTAACTTACCATGATCCCTTTACCGTAAGGAATTTTCAGGCTACGTGCAGACCTAGCCCAGAGTGGCCCTCAATAAATATTTGAATGGACTGAAACCATCTATTCTAAAAGGAGGAAGCCACTATAGGTGACCTGTCAGCATACAATCAATTCTTAGCTTCTTTGTTAATAAACAGAGCTTTGACCTTTTCCCCTGATGAATTACAAGTGACTTGCATTGGGTAAAGGAGAGTTTTGTTCACTTTAGAAAGTCAACACTGTTCTCCTGGAAAGTGACTCTGATAGAGACCCAGGTGGAAACTTGGATACCGTGGTCTTCTTCGGTCCCCGTCTGTGCTGTGTGCCAGCGGTGGGTGTGAGGGAACCTCTCTTCTGCCTGCACCTGCCCAGGAGGCCTGCTACCGGATAGTACTGCCGAATTTCCTGACCAGAACTCACCAGCAGATAGATGTTCAAGCTAGATCTATATGTACAAAGAAATCACCTGGTTCTTCATTCGTGAAACTCAAGGTTACAGGAAAATGGTGATCATTGCAGCTTTTCTCTTCTTGGTAAATCTGTCATGTGTCATTTTTAAAAGGATGGATCTCAACAATTATCTTAAATTACCAGTTAGTCCTTTGGAACTGAGCATTTCCTCCCAAAGCTCCTGGGTGCTGATGTTGACCTAACATCAAAGAAGAACAAATACTGTATTACTGAGGGCACAAATGGGGAGACACTGATATATTTGCTACAGATTTCCGCCCCCCCCCCATTCCTGTAGCTTTACAACAAGTCTTGGAATCAGGCGGTGTGAGGCCTCCATATTTTGTCTTTTTCAAGATTGTGTTGGCTATTCTAGGTCCTTTGCATTTCTACAAGCATTTTAGAGCCAGCCTGGCAATTTCTGCAAAAACTCCTGCCGAGATTTTAATTAATATTGCATTGATTCTGTGGATCAATTTAGGAAATAATTGAAATATTAACAACTTTGAGTCTTCCAGGCCATGAATGTGCTGTTTCTCATCATTTACTAAATCTTCCTTAATTTTCTCAGCAATTGGTTAAAATTAGTTGGGGCTGGTTGGATTGGTTGGAGTTGGTGTATATGTTTTGCCCATCTTTTCTTAAATATATTTGAACATCCACATCAGAAACTGACAGTGAGTTTATGGCCATTTCTCCACATTTTCTATTATCTACAAAGTATTCTGGATTATATCAAAAATTAAATACAAGGGAAATACATATTATCCCTCTTCATAAATAGTATACATTTTTATTTTGGAACAATTTCAAACTTACAGGAAATTTGCAAGTACAATATAAAGAAGTTTTTCTTCTTGAATTATTTGAAAGTAAATTACCAACCTAATAGCTCATTATTCCTACATAACCACAATACAACCATCAAAATTTAAAAAAAAGAAAGCCCTAACCGGTTTGGCTCAGTGGATAGAGAGTCGGCCTGCGGACTAAAGGGTCCCGGGTTCGATTCCGGTCAAGGG